ATGTTTGGTTGCTCAGCTTCCTTGAGAGCAGAAACCATTTGCTTCGATCGAGTAGCAGTAGTGCACGTTGCCTCTCGAACTACCGAAGCTTCATTTTCCCTATTACAACCTCGAAAACTCATTCGAGCTGCTTAACAAAGCTCACTTGCTTCATAACTTTGCAGTAGCCACTTTTTGCCTCTTGACGCTATCTGAGCAATCGTCAAATGGTTTTGCCCTTCGACCGCGCTTATTCCCATTGGATAGATGAAAGTTGCGAAAGAATCTCTTGAGGCAGTCGAAATATTCAGCATGGTTATCAGACACACGAGCCAATGTTCGATTATGTCTCAACCAAATTTTTTCAAAATATTTGCTCAGGTGGATCACAATATTTGAAATTTCTGATCGGATATCTGACATACAATCCAAATCAATATCATACGCAAGTATGATTTTCTGAACCACAGCGTCATGTTTAGCTTTTGACGAGCCTTCAGTCTTTCTCCATATTTAGAACAGCGAGCGTTTGTCAATGTTTTCTAGACATTCAAAATAATCAGAAAATGTATGTTTTTTTGGGAAACTGACCACGCAATTACCCAAACTGAGTACTCACCTGAGGAAGAAGAATTATTTTCGTATTCCATTTTCAAATATTAGAGTTTCTTGGATGAACTAACAATTTTTCTTCGCGAGACACTGACAGACAAAAGCAAAGCCTACTTCATAGGCTCAACTGAAGTAACCTGGTTCAGTGGTTCACTCTTTGTCTATATCACAGTCATGATATGATGCAATTTTACGAATTCTTGGATGAAGCGCAGACATAAGCAAACCTAGTTACCACCTTCTTTAGGGTCAATTTGATTCAACGACAACCCCTAAGATAATCACGTTTCCCAAAAATGAAGGATTATCCTGAGGATTATCCTTAAATTTGGCATTTGTTACAACTCCCATTGCAATGTTCCTTCGAAGATCTCATAATAAAGTGTTATGCATATTGTAGCCAAAAGTTAGAATTTTTCCATGAAAGATGACTGATCTGCCACAACTTGCCTCAGTTCAATATAAACTTATTGGAAAAGTGCCTCAATTTTACTAAAAATCTTTAATAACTTTTCAAATATACATCACAGCAATACACAATATTCGACAAAAATGTGATGCATTGATAAACTTTGTAGAACATTTTAAAGCAATAAAATGATTGTTTCAGAGTTATTGAAGAAAAACTGTTTTTTAATGGATTTCCACAAACAATGCATCATACACAGAAAAAAAGTTGTTGAATATTACATCCAAACTGCTGCAACCAGGTCAATCCATCAGTTGTGTAATATAACGTTGTACGATGTACATAGATTTTGCGAACAAAATTACATCCATTGATGTAATATTGTACATGCTTTTTGCTATTACATCATTATTTCATACATCAGCTTGAATTACATTGATCGATATTACATTTTTTTTTTGCTGTGTATCTCGTCAACGTTAAGAGATACGAAATGGCTTTTTGCAGCTATGTTGCTTGTTTTAATGTGATCTACAACTTTTGTTAAGACACTAACTCATTTTATGAATATTAAAAAAAAAGTATATTGGATATCACCCTAATGGAACGAAGAGATAAACTATTTTAGTCCAATAAACTTCTTCGAAGACTTTGTCCTTGTTAAAGCACACATTTAAGCGCTGTCTAGACTGAGCAGTTATAACATGTTATAACGGTTGTCAAATAATTGCAACACAGAAACCACCATCAAGATAGCGCTATAACATGTTATAACCATAGAGGTAACTCTAAGACTAGTAGCAACAATCAATACGAAACTAACGATTTTAAATTGGCTCACTACTTGACTAGCCTATTGGTCCCAAGCAGAAGATAAACGTATCCCATTCTAGTCGAAATACTAGTATTACGCAATGTTTGTTTTGATTCTCTATGAAAGTTTGACAGATAAATGAGGGGTTATTGGTTTTCCCTATGTTTCGAGGGGTGAATCGATTAGCTTAGGACCGAAGAGAGTACCAGAGCTGAGCCAAAAAGTTGAGCACGTTATTTCGGGAGCTTCTAGTCTTAGAGTTACCTCTATGCTTATACCATAGAGGTAACTCTAAGACCACTGGGTCCCGAAGAAAATCATTATTATTTTTGGCTCACTCAGTACCAGAACAACGGTCCCAAGCAGTCCCAAGCTATTTCACTCACCCCTGCATGTTCTGCATGAATCCACACACCCCTGATGTTATCTGTCAAACTTTCATAGCGAATCAAAACAAACATAGTGTAGTAATAGAATTTCAACTAGAATAGGGTACGTTAATCGTTTGCTTGGGACCAATAGGCTACTAAAGTGGTGAGCCAATTTAAAATCGTTAGTTTCGTATTGATTGTTGCTTATACCCCGTTCACATTACAGCCTATATCACGTAATATAGGCTGTCTTGCAATGAGCACTCATACATAGGATTTCCAGTGAAAACTAGATGCATGAGTGCTCATTGCAAGACAGCGTATATCACGTGATATACGCTGTAATGTGAACGGGGTATTACATATCAAGAGCAAATTTTCATTACGTCGAATGTAACAAAGGTAAACAAAGTCGAGCTATCAGTGTCAATCGATGCTCCTGCTATTACACTATATACTGTCCGAATATAGGATCACATCTCATTTTTAAATTTATTTACCAGTCGAATTGCTTTTTGACGTAATCACCTTCCAAATCAAAATAGTTTTCGACGTTACTTAAGTCACCCGATTTCTATGGAGATGCCGTTTGACTTAAGTAACAACGCTGAGAAACCCGTGAAAAGTGTACGTTCGTCGTTTCGCTTTCTCACTGTTAAAGTGAATAAATCGAACTGTTTGTTGGTAAGATGATTTCGGTGGTCCTAAAATGATGAATGGGCTGCACGTAAGTGTAGAGAAGTAATGAGCAAACACGATATTAAAGGATATTGACAGTAAGGAGACGTAATTGATAATTCTCCCGAATATCCTGGTAAATACACTTTGACTTAAGTAACAATAGGGGCCACCAAACGACGTATAATAACTTTTGACTCAAAAACCAGTATTTCTTAGCATGAAAGCTAGCGATTTGCTTCTGTATGATTAAAACCCGGCTAAATATGTTAAACAACGGCGCCGGTGGTCTAGTGGTAAGCGTGATTACCTCTCACCCCAGCAGGTCTGGGTTCAATCCCAGTCGGCGCCGCCGGGATGTTCTGAGGCATAACATCTCTGATCACGCCTTCCTTCGGATGGGAAGTAAAGCCGTTGGTCCCCGGTTCATGAGTTGATGGATCGATAGGTAGGGTCCAGGTGTGGGAGCTGCCTTCCTGGCACGTCGGTAGCATTGGTGCTAAGCACGGAAAACAAGATCGACGGAAAAAAACAAACCAAAGGAAAAAAAAAATATGTTAAACATTGCTATCACTATGAGATTATATGTGTTTAATTGGAAATAGGAATAACTTTTCGGTCATCAAAACAAAACTTTATTTTTCTCGGATCGGTGCGAATGTTACTTACGACATAATGAAAATTTGCTCTTGAATAATGGGTTGTTAAGAACCATTACCATTCAAAATAGTTGTTTTCTCCATACATTTTCGGAAATAGAACTATATTACAACCATTTTACTTATGGTTTGAGAACTTTAATGGTAATGGTTATGGTAGTCAGTAAGGTACACGCATGGTTTTGTATTATCGGTTATCGGTTAATTGGTAATCATTAATTTACAGGCAACCAATTTGCGATATATTTCGCATAAAGTTGATTAATGTTATAAAACCTTCCATGGACCTTACTGACTACCATAACCATTACCATTAAAGTTCTCAAACCATAAGTAGAAAGGTTCTAATATAGTTCTCTTTCCGAAATTGTATGGAGAAAACAACTATTATGAATGGTAATGGCTCTTAACAACCCATTATTTGTAAGGTCCAGATAAAAAAAAAAAAACAAAATACATAAGGTTAAAACCGAGGTTAAAACTTTATCATACAAACGTTCATGTTAAGTTCCATAACCATTTTATCACAGACAAACAGACATAGCACTCGCAAGTTGTTCATGGAATAAGCATTTAACGGTCAATTTAAAAGTATCGCAGTTGGTAGTACCACCACCTGTGGCGCGCATAGTCAATTCCCTTGCGTTGACGTTTACACACTACCGCCATCTGTTCAGCGTACTGGTACTACCCACTACAGTGTACTCAACAGATGGCGGTAATGTTTTAGCGACGATGTCTTACGGTGAGAAATATTCAATGTGTTATGTCTGTGATTTTATTTTAAGATAAGCAAGGATTATAAACAATTTTTATCCATTGTTGGTAAGTGTGGTATATAGTGTTGGGTATGGAATAATAATCATAATTAACATAACAATACATATTGAATGTATTAAATGTCGTAAGCTTATCGATGCACCAGTAGAAACATAGGAAAATCCACGAACCCCTCATTTTATCTGTCAAACTTTCTTAGAGAATCAAAACAAACATATCAGTGCTAACATTTGAAAACGGCACAAAAGCCATTTGTAAACAAATGGTTTGTGGGCCCTTTACTCACTACTTGAAGTACACCCACGCGACACAACAGCAACATCGGGTAGGGGAAATTTTCCCCTTCCTGACGATGCTGTTGGTTTGCGTGGGCGTTCTTCGGGTAGCTAGTAAAGGGCCCACAAACCATTTGTTTACAAATGGCTTTTGCGCCGTTTTCAAATGTTAGCACTGATATTGTAGTACCAGAATTTCAACTAGAATGTGAGTTAATGAAACTCAAATCTGAGGGATTTAATTGCCCGTGTATTGCGACATCTATGAGAAAATGGCTGAATAATTTACGAATGAATACGTACCTTTCGTTTATATTCTTGACGACAAAAGTTCACCCTGTCCTGCCTTGTACAGTTAAACACAGCCCTGCAGCAGGTAAACAACCATCTGTTGACGTTTCATGTTTCATCACAAGAGTTTGATGCATTTTGCTCAAGTTAAAAATTTTAAAAAGTAATTTTTTTTGTATATTTTTGCAAAATTTCCTTAAAAAATCTTAAAAATGGACGACTTTAAACAAATAGGCAGTAAATGTAGTGTTCTAGCAACCGCGAGTGCCATTCACAAAGCGTTAAAGTTGATAACTGAGAGGAGAACCAAGACCGGCGGCAAATCCGGCTCTGCTGGAACAAATGAAGTCGAACTGTTGAAGAGTTTATGCAAGTCGGACAATCCGCAAACTGCGCAGCTTGCCGTTCAAGCGCTGTTCCATTTGGTAAGCATCGGATCGTTGGACCTGGGCCAAACGTTGGGAATTTTGGTAACGGCATTAGCCAACTCTTCACCGGCCCATTTGTCGGCCGTTGGCAATGGGATGTTTGAGCTGCTACTGCTGGATCTACGACGACGATGCTTGGCCTTGGGAGAAGAAAAGTACGTCTGCCAGTTTGATCTGAAGCCACCGCAGCATCCGCTGATATTGCTGCTTGGCACTAGGGATGTGGTTAATGTGCTATCTTTTGGTACCAAGGTCAACGAGATTTGCCATCATCATGATCAGCTGTGAGTATGGCGTGGGAGATAATGTTGGTGTTTTTTTTGTTATTAAACGAAACATTAATTACTTTGCAGCATTCGAAAGAACAGCATCGAGTTCTTGAGACCTGTTTTTTTGCATGTATTCAACAACACGGTGTTGTTTCCGGAAACTCAGAAGATGTGGCGCGCCCTGTTGATGAGTTCAGTCAACGATGAAGCTGCCGTTTCGATGATTTACGATATTGTGGCCTGGAGTAAGACTTCCACGGGGGACAAGTGTCTCTATACGAATAATCTTCTCTTAGAAGCGTTGGAATTCTACTCGCTTGAAAACAAACGGTTCGACTGTTTGCGAATGGATATTTGTCTGTATCTTGCTGCAGTTAGTAAGGAATTGATTGGTTTCAACTATGATCCTTCGGAGAATTTCTTAAAGATATTATCGACATTGCACGCCGTTAAGGGAGAGCATAAAATGATCAACTATAATAGTGTGTTGCTCATGATATTGGCCGATTTGCTGCAAAGCCTAGCTCCTGCTCATATTTTGGGCTTGATGAGAATTGTGCGTTTCCTGCTGGAGTCCGGATGTAATCGTTTGAGCCAACTCATGATTCTGGATGGCGCGGTTCAACTATTGGGACAGCAAACCTTTGTGCAAAACTATCTTGAAGATTGCAATTTTATTATGCACACAGTAGTGGGTAATAGAGGCGGAAATGAGGTTGAAGATTATTTGTTCGTTTGTCCAGCGGGCTTCTTTCATCAGGATATTGCCAAATACAGCCATTTCTGTATGTGGTGGAACAGAGTGAAAATCGGACAGCATTCAGTGACTGATTTCCTAGAAGCAATATCTCAGAACGTGAGATTCAGCGAAAAAATCGATTTGGTTATAAGGGGGTTGTTTTACATGAAGGAACTTCCGTATGAAGACTGGCGAAAGGTTTTCGATCAGCTCGTTATGTGTTCCAGATCAAGCGAAGAAAGGTGCTCCAGAATTCTAACGCCGATTCTATTCTCGCTGGCCAACGACACAAATCCACACAAACGACTTTATCTGCTGAGAAGTCTAGCATCCATGGGTGCGAAAGATCACGTGTTGGGTGTGCTGAAAGCTTTGGCGAAAGATGTGGATAGAGCGACGAGTTTGGATCTGTATCTACGGCTGTGGAAGGCTGAACCAAGAACTTATCCGTTTTTGTACGATGTTTTGAAGGACACTAGCCGTAGAGCAAAAGAGGATCCATGGGAAACGACCTTGGCCAGGACCTACACCATTCGGGAAGTTTGTTTGATCAAGTAAGAGTAGTTCTTTCTGCTGGTTCACTTAAATTAAAATTAAAATTCGTTATTGAAAACTATCAATTTCAGACCTCATCAGCACGGAGCGGACTTGGTGAACTTGTTCTCGGAAATTCTCAGCCGCCCGGAAGATGTCAACAATGAAGCAGCTGTAGCATTGGCAATCGATGCCATTGCCAGTCTCTGCGAAAATCACGTTGTCAATATTGTCTCAACTTGGAAGGTTCTCGGGTTCAAGTTCACTCACGAAAAACGACCTCGGATCATTCGCAGCCTGTGCAGATTTTTTGCCAACGTTCCTTCAATCAAGGTGAACTCTCTCGAACAGGAACGGCTAGTCAATGAAATCATCCTCAAGTTGTGGCAGTTTGTAACCGATTTCGATGATCGTGAAGTGATTGTTGCTGCACTGGAATCGTTGAAATCCTTCCCGCCGGAAATGATGAACATTTTCCACATTCCTGATATCTTCCGCCAGGGAATCCCTCTGCCTAGTGAGGATGATGATTCGCTGGAAGCGAGACGGATTCCCGGTGAATGTTGGATTCAATTGATTCATTTCGTCAACCACTCGGCTATTGAACAAGCCGGAAACTTGGTCGCTCATCACGTACACAATGAAATGCAAACCTACCGAGGAGGAGTATATCTAATGCCAGAAGGGCGACCAGAGCCAACATCCTTGCGACACTTTCCAAAGAGCAGCATCCTTGCTGCGGTCATTCACTATCTAATTAACCATGGAGGAAAAATGAACGCCTCGGATACCAACGATCTCGTTTTGTTCAATCTCCTTAGGATCGTGGCGAAAAAGTATCCCAAACCGATTCCACCACTAGATTGGTGTTTTCTGCACGAATACTTCCACCACTGTTTCGAAGCGAAAAAGTACTGCCTTCGGATTGCCATTAAACAAATGCCAGTCTCAGGAACTGCCAAACGGATAGTGGAAAACTACCTCAGCGAAGCGGTGGAAAACGACATGGAAGTGGAAGATGTCCTAGTCGTGTTGGAGTTTTTGAACGTAATCACAGAATCAGTGCAAACCGACATCTACAAGAGATACGTGCATTTGGCTTTGCAATTTTTATTGGAGCGTTCTGAGGACGTGAAAGAAAATGAGAAAAGCCCCTTCTTAACAGTTGTTGAAAATTTAAAGGCAGCTATTCTGAAGAAGACATATCAAAATGAGGAAAATTTCGAATATCTTTGCGAAACTTTGGAAAATTTGTTCAGTCGATTCAACGTTAATACACCGGTAAGTTCCTTTACTGCGTCAACCGTGGAAATGCTAATGTAATCTATCGTTTTAGACTTTCGACGAGTACGTCAAGGTGCTAAGCGTCCTACCCTCGAAACATTTGACCTCGCTTCTCAAACCCAGCACGTGGCTCGATAAACGCAATCAGACCAAACTGGAAAAAGTCATCTTCCTACAATTTTCCATCCACAAGCACAACCCGACTGCCACCGATTTGCATCTGCTGGGACTAAGCGACATACTGAAATCCATGGGTAGTTTCGAAACAGAAGCTCGGCGTTACTTCTTGCGTTCGTTTTTCGATTTTGTGCCAACCCTGGAAAATCATAAAGCTTTGAACGGATGGATCATCGAACTGATCGGTTACATTCAATCCAACCTGGCTGAACAGCAGTCTCACCAGATGAAGGAAGTTATACTGTTGCTGGATGTGTTCTTCATAGCTGTGATCAGTTTATCGGGGTATGGAGCGCTGCTGGGAAATGAGACGGTAGTGGAAAATCTAGACATGAGGTTTTCCATTTTCCCACCAAGTTTGATCATGGTGTTCCGATTGAACTTGTGGAGGGAAATTGAAAATAAGGTAAATTGCATATGATTAAGACGAGATTTCTTTGTCACTTTCACGAATGATCATTTTTATTCCAGATTTATGAATTCCTCTACCATTTGTATAACCATCCGAGTATCTCTGCACCATACGCAGAATGCTTCCGCAACGCTCTGCTGTGCTGCAAGGAACAATCGTATTTCCAACAATCTAAAGCGTGGCCCAAATTTGTTTCGCTACGTAGACTGTAAGTATAGATGACTGCCTAGTTACATTGAAATTGCTCAGCAAAGAGTTATATATTGACTTTGACATTTGTAATCGATCCATTTACGTTCCTAAAATTTTCCGAAATCCCATCAACGTTTCGCTACTAACCAAGGCTTAAATGTCGAAAAACTGAAATGTATCAATTGGTTGAAATTTAGTTATTAAGTAACGTCAAAATAAAAGCAAAAGAAAAACATCATCTGTCAAGTGCGTAAATTTTCATCTTCCATAACAATGGAGCTAAGAAACGCGTTGTACAATTTTCATTAGTTTGCATATAAAAATCAGTTTTTTTGTGATAAAAATATATATAACTGTAAGAACGTATGTATTACTAGTGATCTGATGCTTGCAATGTTACTTATTTATGTTTTAATCAATTTTTTTGACCGAAAACTTTGCGTTCCTAATTATTTCCAGAACGAAAACATGGGATCCGAAATTAAATCCAATAAAAAGTACCTAGTCTAAACCGAAGCTTAGCTTGGAAAAGCTGTTGACATGGCACGTAGAGGTGGCAATCAGTAAATTCTTTTGGCGTTCCAGAGGCCACTGGTCGGTGGAAGCTGAAATAATCAAAGCAGCGTTCACGGGGGAAGCCAACGATTTTGGCTGCGAAAGAGAAAAGGACTAATCGACTGGATTCGTTTTGCGGCAAAAGCGGGCTTTCCGGTTGATGCCCAAAGATTGAAAACATCTGTTGGATACTTTCTTCAGCTCTCTGGTAGACCTAACCCTTTTCCTGGAGGAACCCCCGGTCGTAAGTGGTTGAAGCTGTTTTTACGACGCCATCCTGAAATATCTCGATGCGTACCGAGTGCTATCTCGAAGCAACGCACTGCGGTTTTGGAGAAACAGATAAAAAACTGGTTCAGTGAAGTTGATTAATTTATAAACAATGAAAAGCTACAGCAAGTTCTTGCGAAGCCAGCATGTGTGTTTTTATGGACGAATCGGCAGTTAGGATGGTTCCGACAAAAGAGCAGGTTTTTGCCAACACTGGAGAAACATATATTCACACAAACAACGGAAACTCCGAGAAGGAAAGTTTTCCCGCTTTGTTTGCGGCCAACGCCGCCGGGACGCTTGCTCCGCCGTTTATTCTTTTCCCTTACAAGCAACGTCTTCCGGCGGAAATCGCGCGGAGAGCACCACCAGGTTGGGCTGTTGGAAGAAATCAATCAGGATGGATGACTCAAGAAACATTTTTTGAATATTTGAAGAATGTATTTGTACCAAGGTTGAAAAGACAGAAATACCGCTACCAATTATTGTTTTTGTGGATGGTCATTCCTCTCACGTATCGTACCAGACTGTTGAATATTGTCGCACGAACCAGATCTCTCTGATTTTCTTGTTCCCGAATTCGACACACGTACTCCAGTCATTGGACGTATCCTTTTTTATACCATTGAAGGTCCACTGGAACAGACATCTTATTGAGTATTGGACCTTTCATGCTGGTGAGTCCTTGCCAAAGCATGAAAATGCACTGCTCTTGGAAAAAGTGGTTGATAATATGAAGAACTTGAAACCCATACTTGTAAATAGTTTCCGCAAGTGTGGAATCGTGCCGTGGGATCCTAATGCGGTTAACTATCAAATGCTTCTTCAAGAGCAAGATAAGCCCACACTCAAAAAATTCTACACGTTAATGCTACGTGAAAAATCACGTAGATCTCAATACGTATATTTTTTGCGAGTTTACCTGACGCAAGTAGAATTTAGTTATCAGTATTTGATGTTCATAAGGAACACATTTCATATCCACTTTTTTATCCCATAACATTTACGTGAAAATCACATACGTTGAAGGCACTCTTTTGACAGCTTGACCTTCACGTACATGCTACGTGCTTTACATGTATGAAAAAATAAGAAACATGGCCACTCTGCAGTACATACTGCAAGAGGTGTTAGCTGATTTACAGATTTTGAACGGTAAAAGTTATTTTATTGTATAAATAATGTGGTATAATTTGTATTATTTGTTTTACAGAGTTTGAATTGAATTTTTCGAGTTACAGGACATAACTACGGACCAAATTCCAAAGTTCTTCGAACCTTCCAACTAAAACAATTTGGAAGTACTCTGTACTCTGAGTTAATTTACACGCCACCTCAGCCAGTAACATAAACAGAAGGAAAACAGTGTTCCCGCGAGTCCACAAGAACTTACTCCAAACCTATAGATTATTCCAGCAATGAAATTTCCGGTGAAACCTTCCACTCCATCAGCTGTCCCCAAAGCAATTCCAAAACAATTAAGTTGAAACTCCACCGGCATCCCCTGCCCCAGTATCAGCGTTTCATCGCCTTCGCCGTGATCATCCTGCGTTCGAAAATCTCCCTCAAAGATCCGGGCGACTTGCTGTTCATGTTCATGGAACTGTTCCATCTTACGAAGCGGCCAGAAATAGGCAGAATGCAGAATCACAAAATAATGTTATCCAAGGTGAAAAAAAAGGTTCATGGCTATTGCAATGTGTTAGTTTAATGAATGCAATAAATAATAATGAGATAATTAACGCAAGTATTGAAGTATTTACTTTACATAAATCAATGAAATTCTATAGAAAAGTAAGTACTATTCATCCAAAAATAATATATTCTTCATTTGGTTTTAATTTAAATTATACCATGATTCCATTTAAAATCTACTGAAATAACTCGTTGTTAATACTGAAATTTCACGTAGCTTCTACGTGAAACTCCAATGTTAAAATTTAGAATGGAAGCTTTCTTCACTACATGGAAGTCACGTATTACGTGAAAAGTGCGATGGAAAAAATCCACATATGTTTTCACGTAGCATTAACGTGTAGAATTTTTTGAGTGCAATAATGAGAGGGACGGGCGTATTCAACCGGACAGCAGCGAAACTATTAAGGAAAACAATTTACTGCGGGGTTTTGAATCGCACCTCAAGGTTGGACAGCTAAAACTATTTGAGAAACATCAGTAAGCCTTGATTTGGCCGGGTCCTGCAAATGATACCAACCAGTTCTATGTTAGGCAGGAGATGAAAAAAAGGCAGAGTCGATTTCTAATAAGCATGATAATCAAACAGACGGTTTTTATGGTTTCGGAAATGATGAAATTGAAAGTACCAATTCCTGAATACGTTTTTAGAAGTACCTGATGGGTTAATTATAAATATTGATTCAATTTTAGATGATCGGATGCGGATGCGGACACATTTCAGATCACAGAGAGTCCAAGCAATGACGAATCCGTCAGATTTTCGGAAGAACAAGAAGAAAGTGATAATCTTGAAGAACCTCCGGGAGGGCCAACAGAGACAGAAAACCTTCGGTGTTTAACGTGTGTCGTGCCTCCGGTGGATATTATTACAGTACAACAGGGTCCCGGGTTTGACGGTATATTCAACTTGATTTTGAAGAGACTCAGCATGAAAGTGCAGTCTCTTCTAACCGCTATCTTCAACAAATTTTTGGAACTACTTTCCAAGCATCTGGAAATTAGCAAAAATCGTACCAATCCGCAAAACCGGAAATGATCCAACATTGTCTTCAAGCTACAGACCAATCAGTCTCCTTTCAGCGCTGAGCAAATTGTTCGAGAAACTCATTCTCAATCGTTTGCTCAAGTTTGTCGAGGAAAACAACAGCAGCGGAGTACCTGTTCCTATAGAAAATTAAATTTAAGTTTACCTAGTTTCTAAGTGAAAATGTACCTGTGTTAATATATATTCGGTAAATGCGATGTTTTCTTCAGTCGAGTATTAGTACAAGACACTGAAGAAGTCTGCACATTGTAGACGAAATACGCGTATCTGTCAAGGATAAGCAAATAAAGTAGTGGAATTAAATGGAAAATACTAATCCTTCTCTCTCTCATTATACATGTATTCCACTAAGACGCCCACATTCATCAGGGACATTCTCCTTCCGGAACAGTTTGGATTCAGAAAGGGGCACTCCACCAATCATCAGCTAGTACGGGTGATGAATAACATCCGAAGTAACAAAGCTGTATCCTAGTCCACAGCCATGGCCTTGCTAGACGTCGGAAAGACGTTTGACAATGTTTGGCATGACGGACTTGTGTACAAGCTTTGTAACTTCAACTTCCCATTACATCGGTGAGGGTTGCGTGTTTTCCCTGTTCGCAGATGATACCGCAATAGCCGTCAAGGGAAGGATGCCTCGCAAAATAACGAACAAACTTCAACGATGCCTTAACGCCTTTGCTGATTATGCCACCACGTGGAAAATCAATATCAATGCCTCCAAAACACAAGCGATCATATTCCTCCATAGGCAATCGCCCAAACTGAAACCGGCTCTATCTTGTACTGTAATCATGGATGGCACAAGGGTTGAGTGGTCTGCCGAAGTAACTTATCTCAGTATGTTGTTCGATGAAAAGCTCCTCTTCCGTTCGCATGTAGAGAAAACTGTAGTCAAGTGTTCTACCTTGGTTAGGTGTCTGTATCCGCTGATTTGCCGCAGATCCCGCCTCTCAATGGTGAACAAACTGGCTGTCTACAAACAAATCATAGCACCTGCGATCCTCTACGCAGCTCCGGTGTGGGAATCATGTGCACAGACTCACAGGAACAAAATCCAGGTCGCTCAGAATAGAGTGCTGAGGATGGTACTTGATCGTCCCTTCGATACTAGAATAACAAATTAACATGAAGAGGCAGGCATTGCCAAGCTACATTCCAGAATTAACGAAATTAAGACTAAATTTACACAAAAATGTAATATCTCAGAACATGCTTTGATAAGCAACTTGTATATAGTAGATTAGGTGTATATAGTAGTTGTAAGTTAGTTGTAGTTGTAAGTAGTATCTATAAGTAGTCTCCTTTTTCAAATTTAAAACAAACCAATCCCACCAAGGTGGTCATTCTTAAAACAGGCCTGATAGGACTAGGAACTGTAAATAATAATTAAAATCTCAAATGTACTAAAGTTGAAAAGACGCATCTGTGTCACTTGAAAATTCATACATGTAAACCACACAAACACATGTGCAAGAAATAAAGAT